TTCAAATAGCCACCCTTTGCCTTGATGACAGCTTGCACACTCTTGGCATTCTCTCAACCAACTTCATGAGGTAGTCACATGGAATGCATTTAAATTAACAGGTGTGCCTTCTTAAAAGTTAATTTGTGGAATTTCTATCCTTCTTAATGCGTTTGAGCCAATCAGTTGTGTTGTGACAAGGTATACAGAAGATAGCCCTATTTGGTAAAATATCAAGTCCATATTATGGCAAGAACAGCTCAAATAAGCAAAGAGAAACGACAGTCCATCAATACTTTAAGACATGAAGGTCAGTCAATACGCAACATTTCAAGAACTGCAGTCGCAAAAACCATCAAGCACTATGATGAAACTGGATCTCTCAACTGTTCAGAGGGGACTGTGTGAATCCGGCCTTCATGGTCGAATTGCTGCAAAGAAACCACTACTAAAGGACACCAATAAGAAGAAGGGAGCTGTTTGGGCCAAGAAACACGAGCCATGGACATTAGACCGGTGGAAATGTGTCCTTTGGTCTAGAGTCCAAATTGGAGATTTTTGGTTCCAACCGGCGTGTCTTTGTGTGGGTAAATGGATGATCTCTGCATGTGTATTTTCCACCGTTAAGCATGGAGGAGGTGGTGTTATGGTGTGGGGGTGCTTTGATGGTGACACTGTCTGTGATTTATTGGCTACAACAGCATTCTGCAGCGATACGCCATCCCATTTGGTTTGGGCTTAGTGGGACTATCATTTGTTTTTCAACAGGACAATGACCCAACACACCTCCAGGCTGTGTAAGGGCTATTTTACAAAGATGGAGAGTGATGGAGTGCTGCATCAGATGAACTGGCCTCCACAATCCCCCAACCTCAACCCAATTGAGATGGTTTGGGATGAGTCGGACGGCAGAGTGAAGGAAAAGCAGCCAACAAGTGCTCAGCATATGTGGGAACTCCTTCAAGACTGTTGGAAAAGCATTCCAGGTGAAGCTGGTTGAGAGAATGCCAAGAGTGTGCAACGCTGTCGTCAAGGCTAAGGGTGGCTATTTGAAGAATCTCAAATATAAAATATATTTTGATTTGTTTAACACTTTTTTGGTTACTACATGATTCCATTAGTGTTATTTCATAGTTTTGATGTCTTCACTATTATTCTACAATGTAAAAAATAGCAAAAATAAAGAAAAACCCTTGAATGAGTAGGTGTGTCCAAACTTTTGACTGGTACTGTATATTGTTGAAAGTGACCGTATGGATACTATATTTTACAGATGTTATTGGTAACAGGTGAAATGTTGAAAGCCTGAAGTGTCTCCACTTGCGCTGCCAAATAGGTAGCTTTTCGGTGGTGCAACTGGGTAAGATGCTTCAGGAGGGCAGTCACGTGTTTGTGAGGCAGAGGTCCTGGGTATGAGCCGAATCAGGAGGAAGCGGTACTGCTCACTAAGCAAGACAGTCCTTTACACTAATGTGAAGTTTATGCAACACTATTCCAAAAAGTTTAGTAAACTCAAGAAGGCTGTGGAACTACTTACTAAAAGATCTTGAGTTGGACCAGCTAGATATTTTTTTACAGAGTACTATAAAGTCTGATGATTGATCTCTTTCATGTTCATATCTTGAAATTCTTATTTTGAAAGGGTGATGTGCATGTGTATGAACGTTTGTTTTCAGCTGATGCACAGCTGTGATATGGTACAGGAAGTGGGTGTATCGGGCCATTTTATCTTTCCTCAGGAAATGACACTTCAGTCTCTTCACTGAGACATCCAACGCTACTACTGCAACTCATAACTTGTCTAAGGGCTACCAGCTAAAAACACAGTGTAGCTTGAGCTAAACCGCCTTTACATTCCTAGCATCTCCCGCTTAAGCCAAAATGGATAGGATGTGTACGTTCCCCAGGCACCTCTATTGCTGTCCTGTGTTGATCTCATTAATAAAATGGAGTGCAATGGAGCAGAATGTTCCGTTTTCTCTTTACAAAATTGGTTGAATGGCTAGTTTTACCCTGTAGGCACCTTACCACAGGTGAGATAAATTACACAGAAAAAAAGATTCACCTGCCTCCAATTTAGTCCAGGCCATTTTTTGACTTTATAAAATGTCAATTTCAGTTTCTATTTGTTTTCTTGGTCCTGTGCAGTTGTAAATCAAACAAATACACAAACGTTTTTTCAATTTCAACTTATTTTAAAACAGTGAATCGTGCTAAGGTGCCAATATATTTGACCACAACTGTACTTATGGGTCTAAACATATGGCTCTGCCAAACTGTCCTCTTCAGAGAAGATTGCACTGGAGACCAAATTCCATAAATGTTTATTTTACATGAGAATCCTCTCATTTCTGCTAAACACTCATCTGATAATCCAGACTCTCTCTCTCTCCTGAACTGTTTCAACTGTCTTTCATCAAATGCATCTTTAAGTGCCATTATGCCTCATCATCTCCATGTGTTGAGGATGCCGTCTGGTCTTCCACCCCCTTATGTCTGCTCCATATTTATCTCCATCTTCCTGTTGCTACCTGCTGTCAGAATAAAGGTTACATTCATCCGGATTTGCATTTGGGTTCCATTACACTCTACCCTTCAACCACATATCCCATGAAAACAAATTATACTATGAAAAACGATTGGACTAACTTTACTAATGTTTGTTTATGTTACTTGTACTCATGCTGTTTTTCAGCTCATATGGACAGTCCTGGTCTGGACTAAAAAGCAAGCTCAATGGATAATATCCTTTTTTTTTTATGTCCAGGACTAGGCTAAATCTGTGTCCGTGGGAAACCATCCCATTATGTTGAGCATTTATGCATGTAAACAGAAGATTTTCTGGAGAAGGGGAAGGGTAGATATTTGAGACATTTTATTTTCTGCTTAGACAAGTTCCTAACGATAGTACCATTAAAACTGCAGTGAATGAGGTCATCTAAATTCTTTGATGGCTGTCTGTCTCAAATATCAGTGGGAGAAAAATGCCCTAGCTGAGCAAAAACTGAAGGGTTTGATGTGCAGTTTGATGACCTAGTAAATGAAATGTCTTAAACCAGTCATTTTTTTCTAGGGCAGTGAGAAAGCATGTTTCAATTATAATATTGTTGTTTCTTTTAGTTTGTGGACACCATTTTTGTTTAGTAAATTATATCAAATTCACATTTTTGATGCACAAAACCAGCTTTTGCTTTAATAAAAATAAGTATTAGCTACTATTTTGGAATGTTTATCAAATAACACGCATGCTCCTCAGCTGTCATCGCGGTCTGTAATCTCTCTTTAGCACACACAGAGAAAATAAAATACCACTTCATTGGGGTTTTGAAGACTGCACTGTCAGGCTGAGGTTTCATCTTACAGCCAAGTTATACCAAGACGAGCTAAATGCTATCCACAGCTCTGTTTGCGTCTTGCTCAGGATAATTCACATTCGGATGGTTTTGCATTCAACATATATTTAGAGCTGAAGTGGTAATAAATCTTGGCACAGAGACACATGTATGCCTCTTAAAATTGAAACAATAAAGGTCTGTAATTAACTCCTCACAGGCCCTGAAAGTTATAATTATGTAAATCTATGTCACATGTTTTAGGGTCCATTCATCAATGGCCATATTTTCTTATTTAAGTCATGTATTACATGTTTGTGTGAATGTTACAATAAAATGTTTCCTTTATTTTTTTAAAATATATTCATACACATCAAGCATTTGTGAGCCTTTCAAAGGGGAACTATGATGAAGCTACGTTTCTGCAGTATCCTGTTGCGGAACAATTATTAAGATACAAAACACTGATTATCAATAGATAGACATTGCATAATGACCTGCCTAACAAAATGTCGTCTTGGTAACTTGTCTATGAGGAACTAATAATTTCACAATAGATTAAGCTTATCAGATATTTTTATATCCAACTATCAACACAGTGAAGGCTTGCTTATCAGAGGAAAAGATTAAGTGATAGTCATTGTCACATCTGCTTATACAGATAACAGAAGGGTAATTTCCAATGAAAGGCACAATCTGTTATTTTAACAGACTGACCCTGCCACTTTGTTTGGCAAGCTGAGGAATGGGGCTTAGGAAATGTAACCACACTCAAATTCATAGACGGAGCTATAGACGCAAGGGCATCCATAATACCTTTTGAAACCATTTTAAATATATACGTTGTTTGTTTATAAACACTCAAATTGTTACAAAAACATAAACACTGAAATAGTCTTAGATTTGGGGTTATGATAGGGCAAGACATCTATGGTTATACTTGCCTGGGAGCATTGGGTATATTTATGTTTCTCATTACTGACAATGAAGTCAAGTTCTTGTAGAACTACTAAAATAAGTAAGTAGCTAGAGAAATAACTTCCACTGTATCCTCTGCATTTGGATTTTATGACCTAGAAGCCATTTGATGAGTAACAGCGCCCTCTTCAGTTTCGTGGGCCACACTGACTGTTCTGTCGCAGCAACAAATCTGCTTGGAACTTTATACATAGATAGGATTTGATACTGTATTAAAAACACAATTGTCACTTTCTGGACAAGAACACATACAGATCGTCATAACCAACCTAATTGGGGACTATTTGCATTGACCCCCCTTTTTATTGCACTGACTATGTACACTCACTGGACTCTACCCACACACACACGCTCACACACACACACATAGACACCACACACACTTTCACACTTCACATATACTGCTGCTACTGTTTATTATTTATCCGGATTGATTGCCTAGTCACTTTTACCCCTACCTACATGTACATATTACCTCAATTACCTTGTACCCCTGCACATTGACTTGGTACCGGTACTCCTTGTATATAGTCTCGTTATTATTTTATTGTGTTACTATTTCCCTTTTTTTTGCTTATCTATTCTTACTTTTTAACTCTGCATTGTTGGAAAAGGGCTCTTAAGCATTTCATGGAAAGTCTACACCTGTTGTATTCGGCGCACGTGACAAATCTAATTTGATTTGTTCAAAATAACTTCAACAATGAAAGCTTTTGAGGCAAGAAAAGGTTATTTGCACGTTATGTTTATTTAGAGTTTCAGTTGTCTGTTGGAAATAAACAGATTAAAACATATCCTTTTCAAAACAAATATCACATTAGTTAATTCATGTTACCATTATATCGTTTTTAGCTACATATCTACATACCATACAACATTATAGTTATTTTCCATCAGCCAGGAGAACAAATAAATTAGGCAATGAATGTAGCATCATGCATATAACTAATTATTTTCAGTTATTAAAAGGTGTGGTTAATTGGTCCAAAAGTAATACAAATTACACATCAGGAAATGCAGAACATCAAATGGGGGTTGAGGAGAATGACATATTTAATATATGATAGGGGTGTTTAACCAGGCTTTATAGTGTGGAGTTTAGGGCACATTCAGAGTCTGTTAGAGGAGGCCAAATTTGCCTTGAGTCGGTTGATCTTGAGGGGCAGAAGGCTGACCATCTCTTCGCTCAGCTCCAGCTCTGTCTCGATGGCGATTTTGGCCTCTGGGTTGTCCTTGCAGTACTGGACCACAAAGTTGTAGCACTCCAGGGAGCGGTTCAGGTTCTCCAGCTGAACGGTTGTGCTGGACGAGATCAGCCTGCTGTGGAGACGAGCCACCCGGAACTTAGCCACGAGGACTGGCCTCAGTACCTCGTCCTCCAATTTATCCGGCCACTTGCCCTCTGGCGAGCGGACAGAGTCGAGGAACATCTGATAGAACTTGGTGGAGGAGGAGCAGAGGTGGTTAAACTTCTTGACTGTGTGCGCGTCCAGGTCGTCCTGCTTGTTGGCTACGGCCAGCTTCAGATCCATCATCTCGTAGTAGGTCTCAGCCAGCTCAAACTGCAGCTGGCGGCAGATGAGGAGGTAGTACTGGGCGTTCAGGTCTTTGCAGATGGGCTCCATCATGTCCACCCGCCGCTTGTGCATCTTGCAGCGCCGCTCCAGGTCCTCCTCAAAGAAGGCCAAGGCCTTGAAGAGAGCGCTGTGGTCCTGCAGAATCTCAATGTGGTCTGTGACGTGGCCGTCCATCTCAAAGTACTCCTTAGCTTGGTTTACATAGGCCTGGCCAACCAGAAAGATGGCGCGGGCCTCCTCAAAGTTGACAGGGAAGACACAACTCACCTTCTCCTCCAGGCCACAGATGGAGTCAAAGGTGTCACTGGAACCAAACAGAACAGCACTCTTCCTTCCTCTCTCCTTCTCCTCCTCCTCCTGTAGCCGTGTTGCTCTCAGCTCCGCCTGTCGATCCACATCTAGCTCTCCAATGTTGTCCTGTGCAGAGCAGCAGGCATACAAATGAGATATTGTCTCACAATATAGGCTAATCATCTACGGAATTACATTTAGTGTGAAGATGTCTAAATTACCTCGAGAAGCTTCTTGGCATCTTGCAACAAATTAAGACAGTATTTTATCCAACACCTGGCAATTTCGGCTCTCTTCTGTCTAAGTTGGTCTCGCTTCTCAGCCTCATCTTCACCTAAACACAAAGGTGTGAGATGTGTGTTAATGAGTACAGAATGATAGACAACATACAAACATTTCAGAAAGAACATATACTGTCATGGCTGAGTATATGACTTAGAGTGAGAACTTACTCTCCTGGGCAGCGGCTTCTGAGGGGACCTCTCCGGCTAGGCCTGCTATGACAATGGCAGCAGATAGACAGTGCCTGCCCTCCATGTAGAGGGTCTGGCAGACAGAGGGGTGGGAAGAGAAGACGTGTGAAATGAATCCATAGAAATATCATTATAAAGAAATCAAGTCATTTACGCACTGTAAAGAAATGATATGTCATTAATCTTGATGAAGAGAATACATAATTTATAATTTACCTTGGTGATGTAATATTGTGATAACGTGGCTGCATTGATGGCCCATTCCAGAGGAATGAACTGGTTGAATTCCAGCTGTCTCTGCAGAGTACTGTGGCAGTAGCCCCCAGCTTTCTCATACAGCTCCAAGTTCTTGTACATTTGTGCAAGATAGTACAGTGTGTGGGTATAAGCCATTTCAAATCTGTTTGAAGAGAGTGAAAAGTTCAAGTTAAAAGAGCAACGTCACTTCTTTCTGTCATTTGTGAAAGACAACTCCACACAAGAATGACGTCCATACCGCTTTATCCTCTCCTGTTGGGGTAATGCATCTTCCTCTGCCACAAAGAACTCAGTGAGGTCCATTGGGGGTTGCCCATCCTATGGTGTGGATAAAACAAAACAATAGATTATCCACTCTGAATTTTCAAGGTTACATTTAAACAGATCCCATAGGATTCAGTCTGATAGGACAGTAAACTAGAAATAATGCTCTGCGGCTGGCCTCCCTGATGACAGATGATGAGGCCTGATGATGATGCTGCTGCTTGCTCTTCTCCCAGAAAGAAAATAATAATTTAGGCTAACTATGCATAGACAGTCTCATGCCTACCTCTTTCATGTAACGAATATACATTGCTTCTGCAGTTTCCAAAAATCCTTGGGCTTTCTCAATTTCATCCCTGCCCGCCCACAGAATGCCCAGTTGATTCTGAAAAAAACAACAACAAAAAACAATGTCAGTCCACAATATTTGACTAGCTACTTCATTATCTTCAGCCAATGCCAATGTGTGTGTATAGATTAGGCAAATGTTATGCACTGGACTGCTAGTTGCAGGCTTAAATGAAAGCTAACATAGGTTTTAGCTGTCATTACCCTGACTTGGATGAACAAAGACACGTTCTCTGGTGATATGCTGCACTTTTCCAGCAATGTCATGCAATTCATCAAATGTTCCTCTCCAGCAGACAGCTCTTCTGTTTCAACGTGGTTTACACCAAGATAATACTCCACCGCCCCGAGTTTAGCTGCTCTTGATCCGGCTGGGGAGTCTCCACAGTGGCCTCTCCCAAAGCCCTCCTCATTTCCTCCGTCAACGGGCTGCTCTGTCGGGCGCTGGTCTGCTTCATCATTGACGCTCTCGTGTTCACCGACATCGAAATTCTTCAAGGAGCAGTATATCTCTCTCAAAAGCTCCCTTGCCTTATACTTCGATCGAAAAGGGTCGTTTTCTGGGTCTTTTCTTGATTCTACTTCAGAGAGATCTTGAGCATTACAAAAAATTTCGCACACTGCTCTCCATTCATGACTGCATTGGGAAGCCATGTTTGTTATTTCAGTAAGACCCAAGGGGGACCCGTAGTTGGGTGCTCAGGGTCGTATTCATAAGATTAGGGCACACGGTAGCAATACGTTTAGCAACAGAAAACATAAACGAGCGTTTAGTCACAGAGTTTCGTAAACCCACAGCCGCAACATCGCGACACTTCCGGGAACGCTTGCGAAACAGACCAAACAGACCAGGACGGGGTTTGAGAAGTCAATGAGAGCAGTGAAAAATTATTCCTTAGTTGTTAATTTTCTTGAAATCTAAATACACAACTTAGATTCTAGACAATGTCTTAAGTAGGTGAATATGTTATTACTCCAACCTCTTTAAAGTGACAAACTGACACTTTTTCATTTTCGTCAAAAACAACTTTATATCGAAGTAGGGCCTTAGATTTAACGGAATGCACATGCGCAGTTCGGCGCGAGATGACCTTAGACCCGATGACGTATGAGACGCATGAGTTTAGCTAGCCAATGTCGCCATGACATCGCCTACAACTGTCATCTGGGATTTCTAGTGGATAGGAAAGTTTCTGCCTATCTTCACGATGATCTGGTCCAGACAGTTTTCTTATTATAATTGTAATATTATTTGGAAATATTTACTGTGTGATAACGCATTGGCTATTTTGTTTATTTGAAACACATTTACTATTTACTGTGTCGATAACGTTAACGTCGAAGGAATTGTATTATTTTACTTGATAGCCTAAAGGTAAAGTTGCGATCAATTATTTAATTTGTTGATAAGATACGCAAGTAGCCTAGTCTACAGTAACTTTCCAGGGTGTGCTGTTATTATTTACTGTGTGATAACGCATTGGCTATTGGGTTTATTTGAAAACATTTACTATTTACTGTGTCGATAACGTAACATCCAAGACATTTTGTTAGCCTAGTCTACAATAACTTTATTGTTCCGTTATTATATATTTCATTGATAAATTAAATTGTAAATTAAAATATACACATTTGGTGATACAGGGTTGATTTTATATTAAAAAGGCCAACATCATTATAGGCTACAGCAAAAAGAAATCTACAATGTAGCTTAGTATGCTATATTTTCACAGCACAGAACTTTCCTCAACCCCAAGGCATTTTATTATTTCACTGTGTTGATATTGACAATATACACACTTGGTGATACAGGGTTTATTTTATATTTGAATAGGCGTGGCGGCTCCTGAAAAAATTCTCAGGAGGGGCAATTTTTCTGATGATTTAGGTGACCTACACACATTTTAAAAAAGATATGTCCAGCAACAACATGAAGACAGGGGCAGCATATAAGTCAATACCAGAAGCATTTATTGACTGATCTCAAAAGTGTTGGCTTACAAAATCAAAATAAGTTATCACAGTAAAAATAATCAAGGGTGTTCTTTCACATTCCTCAACACTGCATAAACAATATGCATTTCCATAAACAAATGAAATAAGAATGAAAACAGAATTTGAAAGTAATTTCTAGAAAAGGTAAACACAGCTATCTGTATGGCTTTGTAAAAATGAACAACCATATTCTGGCCAATTGTATAGATTTGTAAATATGAACAACCATATTCTGGCCAATTGTATAGATTTGTAAAAATGAACATGAACAGATTTTTATTTTTATTACTTTTTTTTAAAATGAAAAAAAAAACTATTTTAAACAACATCAACTGTGAACTGATTTGGGCGTGTGTGTGTTAAAGAGACAGACAGGGAGGGACAAAGAGAGAGAGAGGCTACATTACTTGTACTGAAACTGTTCTCTTCTCTGTTTCAATACAGCAAAGCGTTCAATGACTTTCTCATTGAAATCAGGCATGCTGAGGACTAGTTCCCTCTCCATGGAAAGCATGGCCAGTGCATTCAGACGTTCCTGGCCCATTGAATTTCGCAGGAATGTCTTAACTCGTGTCAAAGTTGAGAAACATCTCTCAGCTTCAGCTGTTGTCATGGGAGTAGTTATGAGGATGTTCAACAGAGTCACAGTCTCAGAGAACGTCTCCTGGAGGTTGTAGCTCATGAGAACCTGGTACAGTGCCAGTGCACCACAGCCTCCCTTGAATTCAGGATTCTCATAGATCAGAGATAGTTCTGTCTTGAGCTTTGCCTTGCTCAGCATGGGGTATGCATTCACAGTGGCATTCAGAGCCTCATCAGGAAATGAATGGCAGTACCTTTCAAACATGTCTGCTTGCAGTAAGGTAGCACTCACAAGGTGGCCAGAGAAAGAGAACCTTTCTTTGGTGTGATCCAGGATGGTGTTGCAGACCTCTTCAGACAGCCTCTGCTTCTCCTCTTCTCTCAAAGCTGTTCTGGGTCTTTTGGCTCCTGTTGCTTCTTGCAGCTGCTGTTGAGAGGAGTCCCTGAAGGCAAACAGACCAATGTGTTTGTTGGCTTTGTACAGTATTGTTGTCTATGTGATGCACAGGTATATGCAATGTATCCATGTATAGTACAAATACTTAAGTTCCACTTAAAATGGGCAGGGATGCATAAAGTCTTTAGTGTTTAAGTTAGCCTTTGTGTCTCACATAGCCTGGATGTTCAGCACAGTATACAGTGGTGCTCATAAGCTTATGATCCCATGCTAAAGTTGACTAAAAAGAGGAATAAAAAAGAAAATAAAATTGGTGTCCTTAAAGGTTGGATTTTCCAACTTTTTTAATTAAGTCATTAAGATCAATTTCCAAAAGATGATTTTTTTATTTTTTTATTCCTCTTTTTAGTCAACTTTAGCATGGGATCATAAGCTTATGAGCACCACTGCACAGTACACATAGTATATAAAATAAGATAGATTACACCACTGGCCATATATAATGAGAATAATGTGATTTCAAACACAAATGCAGTCTCCTTTCATGCATACATTTTCAAATAAAGCTCTGCTTTGAGAAAGATCGAATGATATTGTTTAATCTTACCTTATGGCCTGCACACTGCTTGTGAAGCTGTCGAGGGCACGTTTGATAAAGACAGCATCGATGTCCTTCTTCTGTAGCTTCTGGTACAGAATGTCGACGTGGGGCATGATTTTGTGAAAAAGCCGCAGGAAAAAAATAAAATCTTCATCATGTAGCATCCTCACGTAACCAGATGCCTCTCTCACAGTAAGCTGGTCAAATGAACCCAATGAACCCGTCCGGATGGCTTCAAAACATTCTATGAGGTCGTCTCGATTCTCGTAGACAGTGTTCACGACTCTGCTGTTGAAGTTCCACCGTGTGGATGAAGGTCTGGGCAGTCTTCGTGCAACAGTCTGGTCAAGAATGCTGGTGCGTTTGGGTGACCGGGAAAAAAACGTTGTAATCCCGCTCAGATCGGAAAAGAAAATGTTCACTTTTTTGATGCGAGAAGTAGCTTGATGCATGATCAAATTCAGCTGATGCGCATAGCAATGCACGTAATGGGCATTCTTGAAATGCTCACGCACCTTCTGCTGCACACCTGCCTTCTCTCCCCTCATCACACTGGCTCCATCGTAAGCTTGCGCAATGAGTTTGACTTTCTCGTCATCGGCAAAAAGACCGTTCAGTCTCTCCAAAAGTACACTGGCGATTGAGGCTGAGGTTGATTCCGAGATGGAACTCAAAAAAGCGCTCCTGCACTTTGTGCTTGCTATCTATGTACCTCAGCACAAGCACCAACTGTGTCTGCGTAGAAACATCCGTGGTCTCGTCAGCTTGGATAGCTACGAAGTTCGCAGACTTCACCTCCTCCACAATATGTTCCCTCGTGACCGCTAGCATACACTCCAGTAGCTCGTTTTGAATGGTCTTTGATGTGCCCTTGAAAACTTTAGCATTTTTAAGATGGTCATCAAACACCTCATCTAATTGTGCCACAAAGTTGACAAGTCCAAGAAAAATACCAGGGTTGGTGGAGCCCTCAGTTTCATCTTTGCCTCGCAAAGCTAACTCAAACACTCCGCAAAACTTAACACACTGGATTAGCCGGCTGAGGATATGGCGGTTCTTGCTAACCTCATCGTTGTGGCGGCGGACAGCTAGCCTGTATCCCTCATCCAGTTGAGTGGCAATATTCACTCTTCCCAAAGATGACAATCTCAAACAGCTATCCATGTGGGTCTTTGACAGCTCATGTTTCTTTATCTTTTCTGAAAGATGGTGCATGTCGGTTACACCAGTCGCTGTCCAAGCGGTGCTGTCTGCTGTGCCGCCTTCAGGGTGGAAGAGTAAGCAGGGGTAGCAAAAAACTGCATTAGCTACATCGCAGCCTGCTAGCCAGGTTTTCCGTTCATACCAATTTTTGGAAAATCCTCGGGTGTAGGACTTTCCCCCTTTAGTAGACACCTGTTGAATTATTAAATTTGGTCTGGGAGGTCCTAATTGTTTCGTTGCCAATTTATCTTCATTTGTTCGCCGACAAAAAGGAACTTATTTCAAAGACACAATCGAGTTGGACTGAAGCCTAGCCATTTTGATAGTAGTAGTGAATTGATTGAGGCTGCTACCTGGTCTTTTCTTAGTTACGTTCATTCGTGGTTACGTTATGTATGACGAAAGCGCGTAAGTGCATGCCCACAGACACCCATAGAGAATGTATTGAAAGCTTTGAAATGTGAAAAAAATAGATTTTACATGGGAGTCTATGACAGACTTCTGGGCGATGTTCAACCTGACTGAAATCGCCCAAAAAACGGGCGGGGCCATTTGAAGCACGACTTTAGCCTGATTTGACATTTAGTGGCTGGCAGATCAGACGTGAACACTGATAACTGCTGTTGCCGTGATATAATTTTTTATAAATTTATAAAAAAAATTATAATTTTTTATTTTTTTATTTTTTATAATTGATTAGAAAAAAAATCCCTTCCTTTTCCCGTTTGGCAGTGCGTCGCCCATATCGCCCTATTGAACAAGCCGTCCCTGAATAGGCCTATAGGCTACAGCACATAAAATTATGCTACGTTTTCTCAGCACAGAACTTCCCCCAAACCCCTACCACTACAAGAAAACAATAGCACAGGACAGGCTACACCATTATCCCCCTTCACACCCCCACTGAGCTAAATGGGGAAGGGTAGTTCATTTAGTGAAGGAAAAAAATGAATGTTGGTAATTAATTTTAGTCAAGAAGATGAGATAGCACAGTCAAGAAAACAATAGCACAGGACAGGCTACACCATTATCCCCCTTCACACCCCCACTGAGCTAAATGGGGAAGGGTAGTTCATTTAGTGAAGGAAAAAAATGAATGTTGGTAATTAATTTTAGTCAAGAAGATGAGATGAGCCAGACCAAACAACCACCCCACTGAGGTGGATCAGAGATGGCAACCACCTCTTCACCAGGTGGATGGGCACTACAGTACTACCACAGATAGAACAATGAGTCAGATATTTCACCGGCTGTATAAATGTGAAGCATCCGCTTGACGTTTCCACTCACTACCAAATAAGATGGAACGAGAAGGATTTTGGCCGACATTCTGCTAATTTTCTCATCGATGAAACATTTGATCTCAATGCCGTTTTCTTTTCCCAAAACTAGAATCTGTTACGGACAGAGTGGATTAAGTTTTGTAGACTTTACACTTTACCAAAGTTGTTAAAAAACGCGTTGTTTAGAAGTAGTGCGAAGGCGAATTGAGTTATTACACATGCGCACTTCACAGAGTAGGCGTTCCCTAACGGAAATAAGCAAATGTATGCTAGAACACGCCAATAGGATCTCGCTAGCTCGTGCTTGGCTCTGCCCACCTCCTTGCTTGTTCTGCTCACTGTGACTCATTTGTTCCCATTTGAAAAGGCGGGCTGTGATATATTTTGGTGCACCACAATACTAAGAGATGGTACAGGACCCTTTAAAAAAATTTTATTCAGCTGCTACTTCATGTGCTACAAACAATGCCTATAAAGTATTTCCCTAAGGTGCAATACACATGAAAGGCCAGTAGATGGGGAACTAGTCCCACTAATGAGTGTGGGTTCACTGGGTTGACCCTCTGTGACATTATATTTTTTACATTTTAGTCATTTAGCAGACGCTCTTATCCAGAGCGACGTACAGTTAGTGCATACATTCTTTTTTATTTTTCATACTGGCCCCCGGTAGGAATGGCTTCCACCTGTGGCATAACATGTGAGGGAAAGACATGACAATTCTGTGTGATTGGGCTTTTTGTTCTGTTGAAAAGCAGATGTGGACAGTATTCAGTAGTTGTGGACAGTAGTTGTTGGTTTGTTTGATATTTTTGCCCCCTAAAACTTATAGAGACCTGGGTGAACCACTATCTGGTGTTGGATATCTTGTTCATTATGGGTTGCAGTGCTTTGTCATAATGCCTTTATGACACATTATCACTCATATACAGTAAGTACCCCATCTTTTTACGCTGCTGCTACTCTGTTCATTATTTATGCATAGTCACTTTAACTCTACCCACATGTACATATTACTTCAACTACCTCAACTAGCCGGTGCCCCCGCACATTGACTCTGCACCGGTACCCCCCTGTATATATAGCCTCCCTACTGTTATTTTATTTTACTTCTGCTCTTTTTTTTCTCAACACTTTTTTGTTGTTGTTTTATTTTACTTTTTTATTGAAAATAAATGCACTTGTTAAATCCACTTCAATCAGTGTAGATAAAGGGGAGGAGACAGGTTTAAGAAGGATTTTTAAGTAAGCATTTCACTGTAATGTCTGCACCTGTTGTATTCAGCGCATGTGGCCAATAACATTTGATTTGATTTGATAAGTGTCTCAAGTTTGTTTTGACATTATATTTCTTGTAGCTGACAGTGTGCTGAATCCATAGACCTAAAACACTTGATGGTGCCTATTACAGAAATGTCTGTAGAAGGCAAAATGTGAAGGTAGTGAAAAATGCCTTAGACTTTAGGCTTTCTTAAACGATCCCACTCAGAGGGACGGTTGCAATACTGTTACACACATACAAGTGAAATCTGAGGCTGTTGAAGGATGGACGGCTCATAATAATGGCTGGAATGGAGTGTAATGAGCTGTCCTCCCCTCAGCAGCCTCCACTGAATCTGACCATTCATCTTGGGCAGAAAATGGACACATGGAGACAAGATTCCGTTTTTTTACCGTATGCCACAATGAGCCAAACTGCAAGTTCTCAACACTCTATCACAACACTGAAGTTCCATTCTGTAAACATAAACAATATCATGGCACACTATCCATCCATATCACACAACATTCATGCAAGCTATTCATTGAAATGATATCTCAAGATGGTATTTTTCTTTTCTCAATGCATATGCCAGTACTCAAACTATCTTCATAAAATTAAGGAAATGCTCAAATAAAGCTTTGTCTTGTCTGATGGTCCACATCCTGGCCACTGAGCAGTATTTGCACTACTTTTAGACACATACACTGAGTGTACAAAACATTTATTGGAAAGGAGCATCAAGCTCATATCCTTGCACTTTCACCATCCTGTGAATAGCTTAATCAGAGCGTGAATAGCTTAATCAATTGATAGTGACAGAATTAGATTACTTCCCAAGAAAGTACATTTTTTGTCTCCTCCACTATAGGTTGTAGCTCAGCATCTGAATGTCAAAGAAACGGAACAATGATATCTCCATATGCATTGGAGTCATGTCTTTCCAGGGTATATTACATCTTATTTCTAGCATAAAGCAAAAGCGGACCAAAGCGCTGTTATACACTGAGTGTACAAAACATTAAGAACATGCTCTTTCCATGACATAGACTGACAAGGTGAAAGCTATGATCCCTTATTGATGTCACTTGTTAAATCCACTTCAATCAGTGTAGATAAAGGGGAGGAGACAGGTTAAAGAAGGATTTTTAAGCCTTGAGACAATTGAGACATGGATTGTGTATGTGTGCCATTCAGAGGCTGAATGGGCAAGACAAAATATTTAACTAAGTATGGTATTAGGTGCCAGGCACACCGGTTTGAGTGTGTCAAGAACTGCAACGCTGCTGGGTTTTTCACGCTCAACAGTTTCACATGTGTATCAAGAATGTTCCACCACCCACAAAGGACATCCAGCCAACTTGACACAACTGTCGGAAGAAATGGAGTCAACATGGGCCAGCATCCCTGTGGAACTCTTTCGACCCCTTGTAGAACCCATGTCCCGACAAATTGAGGCTGTTCTGAGGGCAAAATGGGTAGCAACTCAATATTAGGAAGGTGTTCCTAATGTTTTGTACACTCAGTGTATGTCATGCTACAAGTTGTTACAACCTAGTTTTTTGTGTGGGAGTCATATTTCTGTATATAATGTACATGGAGGAGGGGCCTTAAAGGGTGCTGTGTGAGTGTAATAGAGTTTCCTTGAAATTACAACGCACTTCTCAGGAAACCTGGCTACCTGTCAGTGTGGGCACCTGTAGTTTAAGGAAACCTGTCAGTGCGAGCACACAGAAGGTTTGAGGATTCCATGTGCAGGTAAGTGAAGTAGCTATTATCAAGATTATTCTAAACAGCGGGGGGGATCAATTTTAATCAAATATGTAATGACAAGTATCACAAAACATAGACATTAGTCATTATTAAGCATGGTCTGGTTCATGTCTGAAAAGCAGTCTAGTTGGACAAAATCATGCATGTTCTAAACATTGTGGTGATTGCAGAATTGAGTCAGTTGTATAAATAGTTGAGTGGGATCATTCAAGAAAAAAGCTGTCCTACTGTATTTATTTCAATTTGATATAATCTTTGAGAGATTCACCTGACAATTTAGGGTCATTCCTCACCTCATTTTATAATCACCAGGACATACACATAGACTCACTTATCAAGCACAGTTCTGAATTCTGAATCCCCTGGACAAGACGCTGATGTAGTTGAACAAAGTACAAATCCATTTTGGTACAAAATGTGTTTTATTGCATGTCAGGTGCGAAGTAAGGCAGACTGAAACCCTAGGTTCATTAGAAGATGCATCAAGGTCGTCTAAGACTGCGACCCTGGCTTGAGGAGCAGATACAGTCAGGGAAATACCCAGGGGTCACCTGGCGTGATGAGGTAAGATATTGTTTCAGATGTTTTAAATAATTTTACAATAAAAATGTCATAATCCAGATTGTCATTGCTTTTGTTCTTGTACATTTGTAGTATGGTTATACTGTACTCTTAAATGCATTTAGGTCCAATGTTTGATACATAAAAAGCTTTTAGGCCACAAATCTTAATTATGTTAGATATTGTGTTAACTTTTACTCACACCAGAAAATGCTTAAGTCCATATCCCACAGGTATCATATCTCAAGTGAAATATATTTCTGTTTATAGCCAATATAATTTAAGTCCCCTCTCTAATAGAGGTCTCACTTCTTTCTTTTTGGAATATACTGCTTTTGTCACAGTCCAGATATGAAAAGATAAAAGGTTTACCATTTTGACAACTCTGCTTTGATCTTTAGACAGCTCAAGTTTTTCAGATTCCTTGGAAGCATGCGGCTCGACATGGTTGGAATATAGACAAGGACGCTACTTTGTTCCGAAACTGGGCGATACACACAGGTAAGAAGCAAGTCCAGACACCAATGGACAAAGCTCACTGATTGCACTATGAAAATCTCTCTTCCACCATGGCATGAAGGTATTATGTATACCCAAGTGTCGCATGGTCCGTTGCCGGTAAAGTGCATTTATCACATCTCTAAAGCCAGTTAGAATAGCAGCAAATGTATCCGTTTGCTTGCTCCAATATTTGTCACTGATACTTGATATTACATAATACATCCAGGTTAGCACTAAATATCCACTTCGTTGTGTCTAGTGTTTGGAACATGGACCTAAAGAACAGAGTTCTGCATTTTTACATGACCCTTGTGGATTAAACCTTTTCAAAGATTTTAGCCTTATTCTCCTCTTCCATGTTCAATTGCCATAGCAACTGAAACCCTGAAAAGCCATCTGCCTGTAAACATGTCACACAAGCCAAACTACATTTTTTTGATGTATTCAGATCTATGGATGGGAAAATCAATTTCAATTGTTGTGGATATGGGTAGTTTTATCAATTGCTACAATTGTTTTCTGTACTGACAAGGGCAACAAATTGACCTATTTGTGCATGTTTTCCAAGTCAGTAGTCAGAACCTTTGGGATACAACAATACTTGCTCATCCTTTCTTGTATGTAAAATGACACAGTTCACAGGTTTGCTTTGATTAATTCATTTTATCCCTTTGGTTCAAGGCAGATACAAACCTGGGATAGACAAGCCTGATCCTAAGACATGGAAAGCCAACTTCCGATGTGCCCTGAACTCTCTACCCGATGTGAAAGAGCTACAAGACAAGAGCATCAAGAAGGGCAGTAATGCCTTCAGGGTTTACATGATGCTGCCTGTTATTAAAATGACCAAACAAAGAAAAGGTGAGTAGCTTTAGAAAGCATGCTTTATGCCATCATTTTGTTGATATATACGATCAAGGGTATACATCTCAATGATGGAATATAGCCCAGTGAGAATAATGACAGTCATGTGTTATTTGCTGCCATTTACTTTGTTCCTGTCTAGGACTAAAGGAGTCAGATGTTGCCATTAAACAAAGTCTGATCTCCCTCTCAGAAACTCAGGCAGGTTCTTGTGCGCCACTGGATAGGTTTGCAGGTAGGGACAACTCACTATATAGTGTATTGGCAGAAAGTCACTGTCTTGCATGTTCTTATGGCGTGTTGATCAGTGAATTGGGTTCTCTTGGTATCAAGCCTTCTGTCAAATTCAATGTTTAAGCATCAGCCATCCTTGTTTCCATAGAGGTTTTCCTGAAGTATAGAGGTGGGCAGGCCAGTCACAGCCCTGGTATCTTTCATGTCAATGACAATTACCCTCCCTACAACACCATAAAGGATGAACAGTCACCAGAACAGTCCTACTCTCACCAGTCTTCCTTCACAACTGAAGTGCATGGTAAGAGCTGCAAAGTATATAGCTAAAGTGCCAAACATACAAAAGTAGTTCAAGCGCATGACTTTTTTTCTTTCTAGAAATAACCTTTTGCATGGCCTTATTTTTACGTGTACAGAAAGTTCTGATACTACCACTGATGACAATGAGCAAGCAGAGGCTGTATTCAAGGTAAATTAGCAGTTGAAGTTTCTGTGATTTCTGAGGGGATTTGTGTATTGCTGTCATTTGTAAACTCGTTAATATGACTAATATATGTACATAAATTAAAATGACATTCCATGCAGCTACAATTTTAAACCAGTGATATGTGCTCCTGCAGATAGTTGATCACCTAAAAACCGTAGAGCACTGGAGCCAGTCTAATGAAAACAGAAGCAGCTGGAGGGCAGCAGCCACCGGCTGGGTGGACTGTTACTGTAAGGCACTTGGCTACTGCCTACTTTCTCTGTACTCTCTGAATGGACAACTTTTTCAAATAATTTCCTCAGATATGGTCAACTTTTTTGGGTCGGAAATTCTTCTCAATATGTTTATCCTCCACTCTACAGGTGAGGATATGGATTACTTTGGGTATCCCTTACAGACCGATTGCTACACACACAGTGCACAGCAAAGACCACTTCTATAAGACGAGTGGGAGCAACATGCATCCAACAGACTGCCATGCTAAAATCCCTGAAAAAGGTGGGAAAAAAACATTCCAAGCCAAGCCAGGCACATCTCTATAATACTGTATTCAGATGAATTGTAAGACTAACCAAGCAGTTGAGAGCACATACAGTACATTAAAAACGATTGAGTTAATCACATTAAGCTGAACAGGTAACGACTGTCATTGTAGAATAGATTTTTTCCCCCTAAAATGTTTGCCTTTTATTAAACTTAATTGACAAAAGGCCTATGTTTAAAGTTGTTTTCATTATAACTACACATTTTTCTAGAAACTTCTTAAATTGAGAGTATTAGCACAGCATCTCAGGAAATGCCTTTCAAGATACATGAAGCAATGTCCATGGAGGAATTTATTTCTTTAGGAAAAAAAGGAGCAGGTAAAAATAAAATAAAGACAACCATTTCATTCCTCAGACCACCTTTAATGAAAAAACATCTCATTCCAATGAATGGGTTTATCAAGTACAGATAGTTAAATATATAATTGCAAAGCAATCAGCTCGTACATATTTGGTGGATATACTTTTGGGCGCAGGGTTAGCCAGTCCCCCAAACACCAGTAAAAACCGCCAGCTTGGTGTGCAGGAAACAGACAGACAGCCATGTCATCAGTCCAGAGAACGGAAGTCTGTGGTCAATAATCAAATGCACTGCTGAAGCTGCGTTTATGACTGCCTCCACCTCCTCTCCAGTTGCCACCACCACCACCGTTTCTGAAGCCACGGCCACCTCCCCGTCCTCCACCGCCACTTCCACCGAAGGAGCGTCCGTATCCACGGTCGCCGCGGTCACCACCCATGCGCTGTTTCTCCTCCAGCTCAGGGAGCTCTGTGGCGATTGACAGCTGCCAACGTCTACCATCCTGCCACGCATCCTGAGGAAAAGAAAACTGGAGTGGTCACCACAAGTACAATAGTGTCTCTGTGTTACTAACCACATTATCTACTGTGTCCTTAATGAACAAGCATTTGTTAAAAAAAAAAAAAAAAAACAATGATGTGAGGGATTGCTTTTGTTATGAAATTTGAGGCAGTAGCATCACTCTGACAAAGCTTGACAGTATGGCTGGGGAAATAATACTCCAAACAATGAAAATGCAGTTTGAAAAATGGGCTTGGATAATTGCTCCCCTTAGCTTTGAATCACCTTACACCAAGCATTTTACATGTGTCCAATTGCTTACAGTTAAGAGGAAAGGTATCTCTGCTTTCTACTTACTTGGTACTCCTTTACTTTGTCAGCCGGAACATCAAAACAGACTCCCTGCAAAACAAAACCAAAGTTCAGTCAGCGTTTGAACCATAATATTTTCCCTTAACATTAGGCAAGTCAATTACAGAGTCTCAATAGTATTGTCATTATAGTACCAACAGTGAAGGAGGGTGGTTTCATTTCAAAGGTGAAAACAGACGTCACCTGTTCCCTCCCGAACTGAGGCACATTAAATGACAAGCGTACCATTTTTCCCTTGAGGAAGGTCATCCCGCGGATCATGTTGTCAATCTCCTCTCCCAGTTGCTCCTTTAGACCACGCCAAGCACAGCCAATGTTTTGCAGCTCCTGGGAGCAGTTCATTGTCATTGTGGTGTAGCCCTGGAAGGTTTGAATAACAAACATTAAACAGAAGTTCAAACCATTCAAGATGCATTTTAAACCATTCAGGGCATTTACACATCATTCATTATTCAATTGCTACATATAAATAGCACTGAATGTGTGAGTTAGTAGAGCCTGAACACTCACAGCGTCAGAGTTGAGGAGGGACCTCTGCTCCAGTGCAGTGGCACCTGATATGTGTGCCAGGGCGGCAGCCAGGGCATCCACGGCTCCACGCTCCTCAATCAGCTTGGTAGCAGACACACGGAAGTACTCAATGGCTTGGGGAGGCACAGAGTCTAAAAACCTCACTGCATCTTTACTGGAGGATTTGATGATGTCATTGGCAGTGGGCACTCCAACTCGCTTAAATGTGATGCCTGCTTTCTGCTCTACGTATCGGAGCTGGTCTTCCTCTTTGCGTTGGTAGAAACAGATGCAGACGCCTGTCCTGCCAGCCCTACCAGTGCGACCTGACCGGTGAATGTATGACTCCACATCCTGGTAGAGGGTCAAAGCAACGTTCATGTTTTAATACATTATTGTTCTTGCTAGATCAATTAGTGTTACTACACAGGTATAAGAGCAACTAACAGTGTTATCAAAGTATTTGTCTACCTTTGGGGGTGAGCACTGCACGACCAGGTCTACCTCTGGGATGTCCAACCCACGAGCAGCAACGTTGGTGGCCACTAAGACCTCAAAGGTGCCACTTCTGAAGCCTTTCAATGTGATCTCCCTCTGCTTCTGAGGAATATCCCCATGAAGTGACTGGGAACTCTGTAACATTCAACATGTATCACAATCAGTCAGATAATAAGCCAATGAACACAGAAATACAGTCAACTACCTCACTTCATTTTCAATGTAATTTCACATCTCAAGTCTAACCTTCCATGTTTATCCTGGTATCAATGTCATACCTCACAAATGTTATGTATGCACTGTGTAACAAAATGTCAACAACAAAAAAAAAACTGCTATGGCAGGTTTCTGGTACCTGTTTTATGGAGGCGTTCATTGACAACTCGTTGGCATCCTTCTTGGTCTCACAGAAGACGATGGTGCGGCCGTGGCTGCCACTGTACACCTGGACCACATCCCCAATGACTGCAGCCCTCTGGGACCAGTGACACGCAATGGCAAGGTGCTGGGTGGGGAGGAAGAGACAGGACTTTTAATGCTTTTAGTGCTGATAAGTGTGAAAACGACTATGTTTAGTAGGCCTGAGTGAACCACAGTATAAGGTAGATGCGGAGTAGGCAGGTTAATTATCTCTGCTATATGGAAACTGGTTTGCGTGTGAGCATCAGAAGTGGCATAAATGTGTTGTTGTTTTTGGCACAAGAGAGTGCCAAGTTACTTCCAGGTAATCTTTATTGCTGGTTTACAACCAAGTAGAAACTAGAATCGTACAAGGGGGATACAGTAATTATGTGTTTAAGGCTCACGTAGCTTTAGCCAGAAGAAACTGGTTCAACAAGTATGATATTTAAGACATTTGTTGTGCATTTCTTAAGAATCATGCAACTACTATGGAAGTATTATAGCAGCCTGGTGGCTTTACGTTACTCAATAGAAAAAAGCATAAATTATACATTTGTTTTCTAAAATGTACATTTCAAAGATCAACATTTTCATCTGAATTTAATCTGAAGTGGAAACCATTGTCAATCAAAAAATAAAACATCACTTGTGGAAAGCATAACATATATTTTCTTTATTACCTCTACTGTGGTGGCAGCTTTCTGGGTCTTTTTGCCAATGAGGTCCACATGCTCATAGGTTGGCCTCATGTACTTCTTTGCCACAACATACACCCATGGTGGGCATGTGGCAGAGAAGAGCAGGGTCTGGGGGTTGCTCTCAGAGTCTGCACACAGAAAACATTGGATCAGTTGTGTGCATTTACTCTTGTCTGACTCAGTACTATTGATGAGGTATACTATCAAGGCCTCCCATCCAACCCAAGGTAAACCTACAGTATATGGCCTAAATCAATCAATCAATCCCATATGAAAATGTCTCGTTACCTTTTTGGTAAGACGCAGAAAGTATCTCCTCCACCTGTTCTGCAAAGCCCATATCAAGCATTTGGTCCACTTCATCTAATACAACGTGCTTCAATTGAGACAGGTCCAGTTTGTTATTCTGTAGATGGTCCTTGATACGACCTGGAGTTCCCACTAGGACATCGATGCCACTGCGGATTGCATCAACTGAGAAAAAAAAAAGATTTCCACAAATATGATCAACTTAACCGTATGCAATTTACAGAATTACTTTTCACCGAAAAACTAAGGCTGAGGATCGACTTTTCTGGAACCCGCTTCCCGGCGGCTGGGGGTCCTGTGGCTTATGCGCATGTGTGGGATTCTGTACTTTGCGCACATTCCTTCGGCTCTTCCCGTAGAGAACCTCGCTTCACATTTCTCACTGTCAATCATGAATGATAATTCTTCAAATTTTACCGGTGAAACATCCATGCAGCATCTGCATATCAACCATTTGATCTCAATCAGTTTCATGGGGATATGCACTTAGATCTTTAGCTATAAGCTACAAATTCAAAGTAGCCTACAATGTTGTTTTGAATTATGTGCAGTGAGTGAATTTTAGAGCAGATGGTGTTATACTGTAGCATAGCCTACCTGTTTAGTTTCAATCAAAGCACATATTTTGCCTCGCGCGCTGTTGTGTTTTGGCCACATGAGAGAAAAATGCGCCAATTCACACAAACATAAGAAATGAGGTGATGTTTTTTGTCTTACAGTAACATTATACTATGGTATTATATCCTGTTCTGCTATGTAGAATACTATCATTCTGTGATCTTTATTAAGCTTTGATCTAACTTTAATAAATGAGCACCATTCGCCAGAGTAGACTGTTCACGTCAGTAGCCATGAAGTGCTTTGAAAGGCTGGTCATGGCCACATCAACACCATCATGCCGGAAACCCTAGACCCACTCCAATTCGCATACCGCTCCAACAGATCCACAGATGACGCAATCTCAATCGCACTCCACACTGCCCTTTCCCACCGGGACAAAAGGAACTCCTATGTGAGAATGCTGTTCATTGACTACAGCTCAGCGTTCAACACCATAGTGCCCACAATGCTCATCACTAAGCTAAGGACCCTGGGACTAAACACCTCCCTATGCAACTGGATCCTGGACTTCCTGATGGGCCGCCTCCAGGTGGTAAGGGTAGGCAACAACACATCTGCCACGCCGATCCTCAACACTGGGGCCCCTCAGGGGTGCGTGCTTAGTCCCCTCCTGTACTCCCTGTTCAACCACGACTTCGTGGCCAAGCACGACTCCAACACCATCATTAAGTTTGCTGACGACACAACAGTGGTAGGCCTGATCACCGACAACGATGAGACGGCCTATAGGGAGGAGGTCAGAGACCTGGCAGTGTGGTGCCAGGACAACAACCTCTCCCTCAACGTGAGCAAGACAAAGGAGCTGATCGTGGACTATAGGAAAAGGAGGGCCGAACAGGCCTCCATTAACATCGACGGGGATGAAGTGGAGCGGGTCAAGAGTTTCAAGTTCCTTGCTGTCCACATCACCAACAAACTATCATGGTCCAAACACACCAAGACAGTTGTGAAGAGGGCACGACAACACATTTTCCCCCTCAGGAGACTGAAAAGATTTGGCATGGGTCCCCAGATCCTCAAAACGTTCTACAGCTGCACCATCGAGAGCATCCTGACCGGTTGCATCACTGCCTGGTATGGCAACTGCTCGGCATCTGAACGTAAGGTGCTACAGAGGGTAGTGCATACGGCCCAGTACATCACTGGGGCCAAGCTTCTTGACATCCAGGACCTATATACTAGGCGGTGTCAGGAAGGGCCAAAGACATTGTCAGAATCCAGTCAACCAAGTCAGACTGTTCTCTCTGCTACCGCACGGCAACCGGAGCGCCAAGTCTAGGACCAAAAGGCTCATTAACAGCTTCTACCCCCAAGCCATAAGACTGCTGAACAATTAATCAAATGCCCCCCCCCACCAGTACACTGCTGCTACTCGCTGTTTATTATCTACTCAGTCACTTTACAAATTACCTCGACTAACCTGTACCCCCGCACATTGACTCGGTACCGGTACCCCCTGTATATAGCCTCGTTATTGTTATGTCATTTTCTTGAGCTACTTTTCTTTTTTTGTTCTTTTTTTAAACTTTACTTTATTTAGTAAATGTTCTTAACTATTTCTTGAACTGCATTGTTGCTTAAGGGCTTGTACAGTGAGTGAAAAAAGTATTTGATCCCCTGCTGATTTTGTATGTTTGCCCACTGACAAATAAATTATATATAATTTTAATGGTAGGTTTATTTGAACAGTGAGAGACAGAATAACAAACAAAAAAATCCAGAAAAACGCATGTCAAAAATGTTATATATTGATTTGCATTTTAATGAGGGAAATAAGTATTTGACCCCTCTGCAAAACATGACTTAGTACTTGGTGGCAAAACCCTTGTTGGCAATCACAGAGGTCAGACGTGTCTTGTAGTTGGCCACCAGGTTTGCACACATCTCAGGAGGGATTTTGTCCCACTCCTCTTTGCAGATCTTCTACAAGTCATTAAGGTTTCGAGGCTGACGTTTGGCAACTCGAACCTTCAGCTCCCTCCACAGATTTTCTATGGGATTAAGGTCTGGAGACTGGCTAGGCCGCTCCAGGACCTTAATGTGCTTCTTCTTGAGCCACTCCTTTGTTGCCTTGGCCGTGTGTTTTGCGTCATTGTCATGCTGGAATACCCATCCACAACCCATTTTCAATGCCCTGGCTGAGGGAAGGAGGTTCTCACTCAAGATTTGACGGTACATGGCCCCGTCCATCGTCCCTTTGATGCGGTGAAGTTGTCCTGTCCCCTTAGCAGAAAAACACCCCCAAAGCATAATGTTTCCACCTCCATGTTTGACGGTGGGGATGGTGTTCTTGGGGTCATAGGCAGCATTCCTCCTCCTCCAAACACAGCGAGTTGAGTTGATGCCAAAGAGCTCGATTTTGGTCTCATCTGACCACAACACTTTCACCCAGTTCTCCTCTGAATCATTCAGATGTTCATTGGCAAACTTCAGACGGCCCTGTATATGTGCTTTCTTGAGCCTTGCGGGCGCTGCAGGATTTCAGTCCTTCACGGCGTAGTATGTTACCAATTGTTTTCTTGGTGACTATGGTCCCAGTTGCCTTGAGATCATTGACAAGATCCTCCCGTGTAGTTCTGGGCTGATTCCTCACCGTTCTCATGATCATTGCAACTCCACGAGGTGAGATCTTGCAAGGAGCCCCAGGCCGAGGGAGATTGACAGTTATTTTGTGTTTCTTCCATTTGCGAATAATTGCACCAACTGTTGTCACCTTCTCACCAAGCTGCTTGGCGATGGTCTTGTAGCCCATTCCAGCCTTGTGTAGGTCTACAATCTTGTCGCTGACATCCTTGGAGAGCTCTTTGGTCTTGGCCATGGTGGAGAGTTTGGAATCTGATTGATTGATTGCTTCTGTGGACAGGTGTCTTTTATACAGGTAACAAACTGAGATTAGGAGCACTCCCTTTAAAAGTGTGCTCCTAATATCAGCTCGTTACCTGTATAAAAGACACCTGGGAGCCAGAAATCTTTCTGATTGAGAGGGGGTCAAATACTTATTTCCCTCATTAAAATGCAAATCAATTTATAACATTTTTGACATGCGTTTTTCTGGATTTTTTTGTTGTTATTCTGTGTCTCACTGTTCAAATAAATCTACCATTAAAATTATAGACTGATAACTTCTTTGTCAGTGGGAAAACGTACAAAATCAGCAGGGGATCAAATACTTTTTTCCTTCACTGTAAGTAAGCATTTCACGCTAAGGTCTACACCTGTTTTATTGGGCACATGTGACAAATAATATTTGATTTCTCTACGAGTGGAGCGGAGACTGTGTAGAGTGAGGGTCCGGCACATGCGCAGAGGCTTCGGGACTTTTAGCTGTTGGGAGGAAAGGTTCTGAAAGGTTGGATCCGCAGCCACTCGTAAATAATAAGCACTTTGCAATGAAGCCGAATTTTTGTACCATATCAATTGTAGGAATACTACTCACGTTGAGGGTTGTAGGAGCTCCCACCATAGAAACAGGTAACAGACAGTTTCTTTGTCATGTCCTTGAAATCCTTGGATACTTGAATAGCCAATTCTCTCGTTGGAGCAAGGCACAGAACCTAACAAAAGGGGAAACGGTTAATGATGAGAAAAAAAACATCAAGCATTCCAGAAGCATTTTGGACAACAGATTATGCATGCTCCACAAAACTATACTTAAGCAATAATAAGCCATATACCCCACAAAATTAAAACAGATAACTGCCTTATTGCAATTATAAACCGGTTACCAACATGAATATAACAGCAAACAAGTAGATTTGCTTCATACACGTTGTATATAGTCCGATATACAGTGCCTTCAGAAAGTATTCATACTCCTTGACTTATTCCACATTTTGTTGTGTTACAGCACAAATTCAAAAATGATTAAATATATTTTTCCCCCTCACCCATCTACACACAATACCCCATAATGACAAAGTGAAAACATATTGTTTTCACTTTATTGAAAATGAAATACAGAAATCAAATTTACAGAAGTATTCACACTCGAGTCAATACATATTATCACCTTTGGCAGTGATTACAGCTGAGTCTTTCTGGGTAAATCTAAGAGCTTTGCATACCTGGATTGTACAATATTTGCCCATTATTCTTTCCTAAATTCTTCAAGCTCTGTCAAATTGGTTGTTTATCATTGTTAGACAACCATTTTCATGTCTTGCCATAGATTTTCAAGCAGATTCAAGTCAAAACTGTAACTCTGCAACTCAGGAACATTCAATGTCGTCTTGGTAAGCAACTCCAGTGTATATTTGGCCTTGTGTTTTAGGTCATTGTCCTGCTGAAAGGCCAATTCATCTCCCAGTGTCTGGTGGAAGCAGACTGAACCAGGTTTTCCTCTAGGATTTTTCCTGTGCTTAGCTCTATTCCGTTTCTTTTTATCCTGCAAAACTCCCCAGTCCTTAACGATTACAAGCATACCCATAACATGCTGCAGCCACCACTATGCTTGAAAATATGGAGAGTGATACTCAGTAATGTGTTGTATTGGATTTGCCCCAAACATAACACATTGTATTCAGGACAAAAAGTGAATTGCTTTGCCACATTTTTTGCAGTATTACTTTAGTGCCTTGTTGCAAACAGGATGCATGTTTTGGAATATTTTTATTCTGTACAGGCTTCCTTCTTTTCGCTCCATCAATTAGGTTAGTATTGTGGAGTAACTACAATGTTGTTGATCCATCCTCAGTTCTCCTTTCACAGCCATTAAACTCTGTAACTGTTTTAAAGTCACAATTGGCCTCATGGTGAAATCCCTGAGCGGTTTCCTTCCTCTCCGGCAACTGAGTTAGGAAGGACGCCTGCATCTTTGTAGTGACTAGGTGTATTGATACACCATTGAAGGTGTAATTAATAACTTCACCATGCTCAAAGTGATATCCAATGTCTGCTTTTTTATCTATCAATAGGCGCCCTTTTTTGGGAGGCATTGGAAAACATCCCTGGTCATTGTGGTTGAATCTGTGTTTGAAATTCACTGATCGCCTGGGGGACCTTACAGATAATTGTACAGTGAGGGAAAAAAGTATTTGATCCCCTGCTGATTTTGTACGTTTGCCCACTGACAAAGACATGATCAGTCTATAATTTTAATGGTAGGTTTATTTGAACAGTGAGAGACAGAATAACAACAACAAAAATCCAGAAGAAAACATGTCAAAAATGTTATAAATTGGGGGGTCAAATACTTATTTCTCTCATTATAATGCAAATCAATGTATAACATTTTTGACATGCGTTTTTCTGGATTTTTTTGTTGTTTCTGTCTCTCACTGTTCAAATAAACCTACCATTAAAATTATAGACTGATAATTTCTTTGTCAATGGGCAAACGTACACAATCAGCAGGGGATCAAATACTTTTTTCCCCTCACTGTATGTGTGGGGTACAGAGATGAGGTAGTCATTCAAAAATCATGTTAAACACTATTATTGCACACAGTGAGTCCATGCAATTTATTTGACTTGTTAAGCACATTTTTACTCCAGAACTTATTTAGGCTTGCCATTGACTAAAAACATATCAGCTTTTCATTTTTAATTTATTTGTAAAATTTTCAAAAAACTTTATTCCACTTTGACATGATGGGGTATTGTGTGTAGGCAAGTGAGAAAAAAAACTCAATTTAATCATTTTTAAATTCAGTCTGTAACAACAAAATGTGGAAAAAGTCAAGGGTGGAATGCTGTTTCAGCATCCAGGTTGGAATGCTGTTTCAGCCAATCAGCATCCAGGACCCAAATTACCCAGTTTATAATATGTAATTGACAGTATCTTAGCACTAACAGCAAATGCTGAATATTTTATGACAGTATCTGCAGCAGACCTACCTTTGGGGCTCTGCCCCTCCTCTTGTCATCCGGGTCATTTTGGATTTTCTCGATCAGCGGAATGGCAAAAGCTAATGTTTTGCCAGTGCCTGTTCTTGCCTGACCAATTACATCCTTTCCCTCATACACTGAATTGAAGGTTTGGGTTTGGATGTCAAAGAGGTAAGATATGCCTCGTGCTAGGGGGAAAATAAATGGTTAAAATTTAGGTTAAAGTGGATTAAAGTTGTTTTACCAGAAATGAAAGGGATACTTCAGGATTTTGGCAATTAATCCCTTTATCTACTTCCCCAGAGTCAGATGAATTTATGGATTTTTATGTCTGCGTGCAGTTTGAAGGAAGTTGCTAAATAGACATTTTACATTTACATTTTAGTCATTTAGCAGACGCTCTTATCCAGAGCGACTTACAGGAGCAATTAGGGTTAAGTGCCTTGCTTAAGGGCACATCGACAGATTTTTCACCTAGTCGGCTCGGGGATTAGAACCAGCGACCTTTCGGTTACTGGCACAACGCTCTTACCCACTAAGCTACCTGCCGCCCGTGTGCTAGCATTGTGCTAGCATTGTGCTAGCTAATGCTAGCATTGTGCTAGCATTAGCACAATCGCGCAAAAGATAGAATATACTTCCAGTCATTGTGCTAATGCTAGTTAGCATTGGCTCGCGAAACTACCTCTAACTTCCTTCATACTGGATGAAGAGATAAAAAAATTGTATCCATGAGTTCATCTGACTCTGTGGAAGTAGATAAAGGGCTTCACTGCAAAAATCCAGAAATATCCCTTTAAATAATAGATTGCACCTTTAAAAATAGGTAACAACTCAAACAGCATTTTTGTTGCATGAAAATTGACAAATAAGGAAAAATACCTTGAAGTAGTTTGATGGTGTTGGGGGAGATTCTGAAGTTTGAAAAGGCTCCCTCTTTTTGTTCTGGTGTCTCCTAATGGCATGAAAAAAGAAAAGAAATACAATGTTCTTAAACTCCTTTAAATCGTTTTTCCACAAACCACCATGGTACATCTTCACTGAATGAGAACATCACTGGGAAAGACTCACGGTTTCTTTTTCACCGTCACTGCCGGAGTCTTTGCTTGATTGTGCTGGAGTTGTCGCTGTGGAATGTCCATTAGTTTGTGCGATCAGCTTGGTAGTCTCAGGCAACACTCCGTTGACTACTTCTTCTGACGTCTTTTTCTTCTTCTTCTTCTTCTTCTGTTGGTAATGACAAAATGGGACATGTTAAAAAGATGCCTTGCCATGGTAATTACCGATGAACATTTGATTATCACACCGCGTGGCTGCTGCCTCTCTAACCTGGTGGTCCCTGCACACACCACCCACGTGGAGTTCCAGGTCTCAGGCAGCCTCTGGAACTGCCGTTCTGCTGCCAACAAGGCAGAGTTCATCTCAGCCTATGCTACCCTCCAGTCCCTCGACTTCTTGGCGCTGACGGAAACATGGATTACCACTGAAAACACTGCTACTCCTACTGCTCTCTCCTCGTCTGACCATGTGTTCTCGCATACCCCGAGAGCATCTGGTCAGCGGGGTGGTGGCACAGGAATCCTCATCTCTCCCAAGTGGACATTCTCTATTTTTCCCCTGACCCATCTGTCTATCTCCTCATTTGAATTCCATGCTGTCACAGTCACTAGCCCATTTAAGCTTAATATCCTTGTCATCTATCGCCCTCCAGGTTCCCTTGGAGAGTTCATCAATGAGCTTGACGCCTTGATAAGTTCCTTTCCTGAGGATGGCTCACCCCTCACAGTTCTGGGGGACTTCAACCTCCCTACGTCTACCTTTGACTCATTTCTCTCTGCCTCCTTCGTTCCACTCCTCTCCTCTTTTGACCTCACCCTCTCACCGTCCCCCCCTACTCACAAGGCAGGCAATACGCTTGACCTCATCTTTACTAGATGCTGTTCTTCTACTAATCTCACTGCAACTCCCCTCATGTCTCCGACCACTACTTTGTATCCTTTTCTCTCTCGCTCTCCTCCAACACTACTCACTCTGCCCCTACTCAGATGGTAATGCGCCGTCGCAACCTTCGCTCTCTCTCTCCCGCTACTCTCTCCTCTTCCATCCTATCATCTCTTCCCTCTGCTCAATCCTTCTCCCTCCAATCTCCTGATTCTGCCTCCTCATCCCTCCTCTCCTCCCTTTCTGCATCCTTTGACTCTCTATGTCCCCTATCCTCCCGGCCGGCTCGGTCCTCCCTTCCAGCTCCGTGGCTTGATGACTCATTGCGAGCTCACAGAACAGGGCTCCGGGCAGCTGAGCGGAAATGGAGGAAAACTAGACTCCCTGCGGACCTGGCATCTTTTCACTCCCTCCTCTCTACATTTTCTTCATCTGTTTCTGCTGCTAAGGCCACTTTCTACCACTCTAAATTCCAAGCATCTGCCTCTAACCCTAGGAAGCTCTTTGCCACCTTCTCCCTGCTGAATCCTCCTCCCCCTCCCCCCTCCTCCCTCTCTGTGGATGACTTCGTCAAACATTTTGAAAAGAAGGTTGACGACATCCGATCCTCGTTTGTTAAGTCAAATGACACTGCTGGTCCTGCTCACACTGCCCTACCCTATGCTTTGACTTCTTTCTCCCCTCTCTCTCCTCACGGGGAAGGACTGCCCGTTCCATGATCTCGCCATCACGGTTGACAACTCTGTTGTGTCCTCCTCCCAGAGTGCGAAGAGCCTTGGCGTGACCCTGGACAACACCCTGTCGTTCTCCGCTAACATCAAGGCGTGACCCGATTCTGTAGGTTCATGCTCTACAACATTCGGAGAGTACGACCCTGCCTTACACAGGAAGCGGCACAGGTCCTAATCCAGGCACTTGTCATCTCCTGTCTGGATTACTGCAACTCGCTGTTGGCTGGGCTCCCTGCCTGTGCCATTAAACCCCTACAACTCATCCAGAATGCCGCATCCCGTCTGGTGTTCAACCTTCCCAAGTTCTCTCACGTCACCCCGCTCCTCCGCACACTCCACTGGCTTCCAGTTGAAGCTCGCATCTGCTACAAACCATGGTGCTTGCCTACGGAGCTGTGAGGGGAACGGCACCTCCGTACCTTCAGGCTCTGATCAGTCCCTACACCCAAACGAGGGCATTGCGTTCATCCACCTCTGGCCTGCTGGCTCCCCTACCTCTGCTGAAGCACAGTTCCCGCTCAGCCCAGTCAAAACTGTTCGCTGCTCTGGCACCCCAATGGTGGAACAAGCTCCCTCACGACGCCAGGACAGCGGAGTCACTCACCACCTTCCGGAGACATTTGAAACCCCACCTCTTTAAGGAATACCTGGGATAGGATAAAGTAATCCTTCTACCCCCCCCAATTTTTTTTAAAAAAACATTGTAAAGTGGTTATCCCACTGGCTATAAGGTGAATGCACCAATTTGTAAGTCGCTCTGGATAAAAGCGTCTGCTAAATGACGTAAATGTAAAAATTATAAAATGATTATAATAATTCCGAACAAAAATAAATAGTGGTCCTCTGTAGCTCAATTGGTAGAGCATGGCGCTTGTAACGCCAGGGTAGTGGATTCCATCCCCGGGACCACCCATCGTAAAAATGTATGCACGCATGACTGTAAGTCGCTTTGGATAAAAGTGTCTGCTAAATGGCATATTATTATTATATTATAAGAGATATCCTGTGTAGCTCAGTTGATAGAGCATGGCGCTTGCAACGCCAGGGTTGTGGGTTCAATTCCCACTGGAGACCAGTACAAAAATGTATGCACTCACTAACTGTAAGTCGCTCTGGATAAGAGCGTCTGCTAAATGACTCAAATGTAAATGTAGATATAAAAAAAAATCAATACCCATCCGTTGTAATGCAGTACTGAGTGTAGGAATGTTTTATCAAAACACTATGTACTATAAGTTACCTCAGTTGCTTTGTCATTGTCTGCAGACTCCTCATTGGAATGAGATGCGTTGTTCTTCAAAGGTGATTCAACATTTCCATTAACATCAATGGATTTGTTCACGTCCTCGTTTGCTTTGCCCACTTTTTCTTTCTTCTTCTTGGGAGCAGGAGGTTCACAGTCAGGCTCCTCTTCAATAACCGTTTTCTGTTTCTTGATTTTCTTTCCCTCCTTGGTCTTCTTCTCCTTTACTTTCTACAAACCAAACATAGTGCACCATACATTAGTTGAAGGGGAAAGAATAGTAGCAAGCTATATCAATGTATAGCTACATTTCTTACCACATAACAGTGCTAGTGAACTAGAACCTAAGTAGAAAGATAGATTGATCATTATTGACATACTGTATTGGATACATTGTTACAAGTTCAAAGCTGACTAGCTAGGTATGCTGCATTCACGTGCTAGTTGGAACTGGGAATCTAGGAAATGTCCGACTTAAAACTGGTTGAACGCGGCACGTGCGTAACAACAACTAGTCAATTTCTGAGTTTCCTAGTTCACACTAGCATGTAAGCAACTGGGAACAGTCGGAACCCGTTTTTCCGAGATCGCAGCTGTTTGAACGCACTGAAGTCAGAGATTACCGACTTCCCAGTTGTCTTGAACGTGGCATTAGAATGGCAACATGTCGAGCAACGTCATCAAGTGCTGTACGTAGTACAAATTGATAGGCTGTGACCGTACCAGAGTACATCGGGGCACGTTGATCCTTCTGTTATGAAGATCAACTGAGCACGTGTCATGGGCACGAGGCTGCGCACTAGTAGCAATGAAAATGCCATGTGCCGGTACTAGCTACTTTCTACAATGATTGACAGTTATTTAAATCTCGAACTACTTGTATTTTCCTTACCTCTAGCTAACGTAATGGCAATAATATATTAGCAATATGACATTCGTGGCGACATGATATAACGTTAAATTAGCTACCACGCGGCTGTAGAATGTAACTAGGTAGCTGCTAGCAGGCGGTGCTAACGCAGTTTCGGCTGTTTTAGCAAACGGAAACAACCAGCTATTTGTGTTCTATTTTACTTACTTTGGGTGTCGTACTGCCCGCACTAATGTCCAGTTCACCTTCCATCCCGATGTCTTCGGTTTCAAAAATAATCTTTGATGGCATCTTCCCCGGTTGTTTTCCCTTCGAGTGGACACTAGCTAACCCTACGGGTACGCTTACAGAAAGGAACGACAAGAGCGTGCGGTGTTGAGCTAGACCTTTTACAAGCATAGAAATTGAGTAGGTAGAATGGACCTCCCATTGGAAGCCAGTACAAAGCAATTTGAACGCCGTGATGTGGAACTTTAAGTTTGTTCTTTAATTTACAAAGATGTGTGTATTCTTCTTTGTATGTGCTTTATGCGTCTTGCTCTCCATAAATGTTAATCTTTCAACTGCGCAGACATGATGGTTTTATGAAAAATAATGTACAAAATACATATTTCTTCTACTTCTAGGGATATGAAGGAAAGCCAGAGTCATAACACAGTGGTATTGCTATGTTGATGGGTTTTCCTTTTTTTGTTGCTCAAATCAACAATGTTGAATACTGTAGAAGAAGAAAATAATAAGATGTATTTTTAATTTTTTATCCATTGTCAGAGCACACAGATTATTTTGTATTTTTGCTTTTATCCCAACACATTTTAGAGATTAGACAACAAAGTCAGAGATTAGACAACATAGTCAGAGATTAGACAACATAGTCCGCCGCAATGCAGCGCCCCAGCAATTTAGGGGTTAAGTGCATTGCTCAACGGCACAGCGAATGGCAGGAGATGCATCTATGATACGGGTTACAACCAATGACGTATATACACCGAGTGCACAAAACATTAGGAACACCTTCCTAATATTGAGTTGCACCCCATTTTCCACTCAGAACAGCCTCAATTCGTCAGGGCATGGACTCTACAATGTGTCGAAAGCGGTCCACAGGGATGCTGGCCCATGTTGACTCCATTGCTTCCCACAGTTGTGTCAAGTTGGCTAGTAGTGGATCGCTACTCCAAATAGCTTGTTCCATCTTATCCCACAGATGTGAACATACAGATGTGAACATTCCTGGACAATCCTAGGCTTGTGGCATGGGGCATTATCCTGCTGAAAAAAATCAATTTGCAGATGGATACACTGCTGCCATGAAGGGATGCACCTGATTGGCAATGATGTTCAGCTATCCTGTGGCATTCAAATGTTGCCCCACTTTTATCAAGGGGCCCAATGTGTGCCATGAAAACACACCCCACACCAACACCACCACTCTGCAATGTTGACACGCGGCATGATGGATGCATGCATGTACTCTTGGTTTTCTCCATACCCTAGTCCTCCCATCAGCATGAAACAGCAGGAACCGGGACTCATCAGACCAGGCAATGTTTTTCCAATTCTTCAGTGTTCAGTGTTTTCGTTCCTTAGCCCACTGCAACCTCAGTTTCTTGTTTTTTGCTGAAAGAAGTGGAACTCTGTAAGGTCGGTTGCCATACCCTATTCGTGTCAAAGTACGATGAGTTGTGCATTCTTCTATGGGTCTTTGAGCACCAATGTTGTCCTGGACTGTCAGTTGACTAACTGTAGCCCGTCACTTGCTCTGCACAAGTTGTGTCAGCCTCCTTTGTCGTCTTTCGTCAATGACCCATTTTCAACCACTGGCCATGCTGTTGGCTGGATGTCCTTTGGGTGATGGACCATTCTTGATACACACAGGAAACACTTGAGTGTGAAAAACACAGCAGTGTTGCAGTTCTTGACACACTCAAACCGGTGCGCCTGGCACCTACTACCATACCCTGTTCAAAGGCACTTACATCTTTTGTCTTGCCCATTCACCCTCTGAATGACACACAAACCCAATCCATATCTCAATTGTCTCAAGGCTTAAAAATCATTCTTTAATCTGTCTCCTACCCTTCATCTACACTGATTGAAGTGGATTTAACAGGAGAGATCAATAAGGGATCATAGCTTTCACCTGGTCAGTCTATGTCATGGAACGAGCAGGTGTTCCTAATGTTTTGTACATTCAGTGTGTGTATATATTTTACCAGAGAAACGTTAATGTTTTTCATATGTCACATGCACTTATCAAAGTCTTTTTACAAACTTCATAATTGGCAGTGTACAAGATTAAAGCTTTGAGTGACCTGACCAAATTCACATAGAAATGTGAGCTATAAATCTGTCATTCTCATTGAAAGCAAGTCTAAGAAGCATAGATTTGTTCTATGTGTGTGATTTCTTTGCTTCCTGTTCTTCAGTTTCATTTTTGCATCTTTTCCTTTCAGTTTTGTACACCAGCTTCAAACAGTTGAAAATAAAATAAAAAATGGTTATGGAAAAAATATTTTGTACACAGTGTTTATCATTGGTTGCAACTGATACTAGATGCCAGCAGCTACCCTCCAGCTGCCAGTTCACTCACTGACTTAAGATTCGAACTCTAGCCTACCTGGCGCCCACACCAGACAAACACAATGATATTCTGGGCCAATTCTGATTAAGCAATAAGGCCCGATGGGGTGTAGTATATGGCCAATATACCAAGGCTAAGGGCTTCTCTTATGCACGATGCAAAGCAGAGTGCCTGGATACAGCCCCTAGCCGTGGTATGTTGGCCATATACCACAAACCCCAGAGGTGCCTTAATGCTATCATAAACTGGTTACCAACGTAATTAGAGCAGTACAAATAAATGTTTTGTCATACATTTATTGCTTTTTAGTGCTGTCAGCCAATCAGTATTGCGTGCTCGAACCACCCCGTTTATAATCAATTATAGGTCACCATAGCCCATGAAAAATACTGGAGAATTAAACATTAAAAATCCTTATGATATTGGGAAGTGATCACCAACCTTTTCTGAGTCAAGATCACTTTCGCAGTCAAAAAGCAAGACAAGATCTACAGATCAGATTTTTTAAAATCATGACTTAACAAAAATGTAACATTAACCTAATAAAAACAGTTCTGTAGAAATGAGGTTTGTGCAGTAGGCCCAATATATGGTCCTCTGTAGCTCAGCTGGTAGATCACGGCGCTTGTAACGCCAAGGTAGTGGGTTCGATCCATGGGACCACCCATACACACACAAAAAATGTATGCACTCATGACTGTAAGTCGCTTTGGATAAAAGCGTCTGCTAAATGGCATATTTAATACATTATCACAGCATATTGGAAATATGCCTGGCCTACCAATATTGTATTCTCAGACCATATTATATTTAAAAACTCGAGCTTTGATAACAAAATACATCAGTTGGTGTATCACTTGCGAGGCACAGCTGAGCATAAATTTAAATAATTCGCTTTTTTATTTTACTGGACTGATGGTACCTGCGTCTGATGGTTATTGTGCTTTCAAGACAAATGGGAACTTGGAATAAAAACGAGACCAAATCATGTCGTCAGTGATCTTCAGGTCGGAAAATCGGAGCTCTAGAAAGATGCCCGAGTTTCCTTTCCTATTTTTCCCAGTTGGATCAATTTTTTTTCCCGAGTTCCCAGTTGTTTTGAACAACATTAGTCTCAGCGGAGGGAGGGCAGCAGAGCGTACGCCTCTCACGGTCCCTGCTCGCTCCTTCCTTTCCTCCGGTGAGACTGACCAGAAAGAGGAGACACTGTCTTCCACCTGATGGCGAAATTCGAGTCGCACCGTATCTGCCTCATGCACAATTTTATGTTTTTCCTATGACCAGAGAAAGTGAAATATTCCTCAATATTAAAATATACACGACGAGCTGCTAATAATAATAAAAACGTAGGGCGACTCATTCATTGCAGCTGCAGCGCGAGTAGGGAGAAGCACTTTTATGTTTTGTAATTGTTGAACAAAAACTTAGACATTAACTCAGTCATCAAAACAGCAGCTCTTTGCTGTATTATTTGACAGTCTCTCTCTTTTCATGGTTTTACAAGTTATGAAATCTCATGTAGGCTAGTATCAAACTTTGCCGTGGCCGGGGTCGTGGAAGCTGTGGGAACAGAGATTTGAGCAATCCGATTGGCCAGCGCAGTAGATGAACTCGATTTAGCCACAGATCTCCCGGTCTGCCATGCAGGCGGAGTTTGTTTTTTCAGACGAATGAAATGGTTCTAAATGAGAACACTTTGCCTACCTGGTGCGCACGGCTTTTGAATAAAGTGCACCTACTGTCAACAGCGCAACACAAATAATAATAAAAAAAGGAGCGCAAGCCTTTTTCTACAGAAATGTTTGGTGATCGACTAGGAATGCTTTGAAGATCAACCGGTTGGTGACCACTGATATAGGGCAACAACAATGATTGCAAACTTAAAATATCAGAAAGTAGTGTAGTGACCTTAACCCAACACCTTGCGATCTCGTCAAGCGTTTCAGACCTCTTGGCGTAACTGTTAAGGTGTAGGCGTGACAGATCCGGGTTCGAGGCCTGGTTGGGTCTACCCCGTGAATTCGCTACACTATGTTGCAAATGGCCCATCAAATTACATTTACATTTTAGTCATTTAGCAGACGCTCTTATCCAGAGCGACTTACAGTTAGTGAGTGCATACATGATATTATTTAATTTTTCATACCCCGGTGGGAATCGAACCCACAACCCTGGCGTTGCAAACGCCATGCTCTACCAACTGAGCTACATCCCTGCCGGCCATTCCCTCCCCTACCCTAGACGACGCTGGGCCAATTGTGCGCCGCCCCATGGGTCTCCCGGTCACGGCCGGCTACGACAGAGCCTAGATTCGAACCAGGATCTCTAGTGGCACAGCTAGCACTGCGCTGCAGTGCCTTAGACCAATGCGCCACTCGGGAGATGTATCAGACCTGGGTTCAAATACTGCCCATAAAAAGCAACTTCTCCTATTGAAAACTGCCTATCCCAGATAACACATTTTGGGTGAATGTTGTGGGAACGTTTCACCAATGTTCCCGAAAGGTTCATTCAACTACTTTTCTTAACGTTATTTGAACGTTCTCTTTTGGTTGTGGGAACGTTATCTGAAGGTTACAAAGCTAGGAACGTTTTGGTGACGTTCTATGAAGGTTCTGGGAATGTTCTCTGGAGGTTACCAATGTTCCCTAAAGGTTAAAACGGATGGTTTTCATGACGTTCTACAAACTTTCTATTTTGGTTGTATGACGGTAGCGGGGAATGTTCTCTGGAGGTTACAAAATTGGGAACACACACCCAGGATTACACAATTACAGTGGGGGAAAAAAGTATTTGGTCAGCCACCAATTGTGCA